CTTTTCTGCCTTGTGACTGCAGGAGATGACAGGCTCTTTATATATTGCCAAGAAGGCCCTTTGACTTTTACACTAGCCTTTATAGTCTTTCTGTAAAGTATGTATTACTCTCAACAAAAAGAATCCTATTACTTCTCAAATGCCTAATTGTGCCTTCCCATCTTTATGCATTCCTTTCCTTAACGAAACATCCCAATACATCACTGGTGAAAATTTTAACAATTGCATTATTATCACATGCTAGGGGATCACAGCATTCCACTCACCACTAGAAATGGCCTCCTCTTGGCCAAGAGGTTGGTGAGATACTACTCCTAAATACTAACTTAGAGGTTGCTTTTTGGATCACTCCTGGCCCCAATTATTGCTAATCAGGCTCAACCAGGTTTCCAGAATGTTTATTGGAGACATTTCTCAGGATCATTTGTGGGGAAATGAAGGAAGCAGACTTGGGTAGAAGGTGAATTAAGATTGCAATGCATTCACAAAAAAGCCTCAGTCTATTTCATGGAGAACACCAGAGTTAGAAAAAGGCCCTGACGAATTGTCCCTATTTGGGACACCTATTTCATAACTGCAATGATCAGTCTTTGACTATGGGCTGCCCTAAGGAAGAGAGCATGACTTTAAATGAAGCAACTCTTCTCAGGTAAAGCTGTGTGGGGTGCTTAATTGCAAGCTCTCAATGATTAACACTCCCAGCAGCTGGAAGAGTGAGTGCTTCAGTTTTAAAGGATGGAGATCTGGGGAGCACAGCGCAACAGTATTAAAATACATTCCCTATTGTTTAACCCGTTTACAATGGAAAAGTATTCATGTTCTCTGTGTAATAAAAAATATTTAAAGGCATTTTTAAATAAGGAAGCAAAAAAGAGAAATGAGAAATTACCCATAATCTTTCCACCAAGTATACCATTGTGCATATTTTGGCATATATCCTTTCAGAATTTCAAATTCAAAATTGTATTTTGTGTGTATAATTTTACAAAAATGAGACCATATTGTAAATATTGTAGTAGCTCTTTTTTTAAACTTAGCAATGTTTTATAAGCATCTTTTCATATTTACATACTTCTATCACATCCTGTTTTTAGAATTGTATTTTTTTAGAAGTTTTACATTTACAGAAAAAATTGAGGAAATAGAACAGAGAGGTCCCATATACCCCTAGTTTCACCACATTTTATCCTATTTTACTAACACTTTGCATATTATGGTGTATTTGTTATGATTAATGAACCAGTATTTATGCTCTATTATTAGCCAAAGTCCATAGTTTACATTAGTCCCGTGTATTTTGACAAATGCATACTGTCATGTATTCACTCTTACAGCATCATACAGCAGAATTTTATGGCTCTAAAATCATCTATTTATCCTATCCTCCTTCCCCATCCTCTGGCAACCACTGATCTTAATGGATCTATATATTCTCTTTTAAAACATCCTTTTTAGTAGCTGTGTAATAGTGTCCCTTGAATTTATCCAGCTAACCCTCTGTTATGGGACACTGATGCTGTACATGGCTTAAAGAAAGACTAAAACAATAACACCAAATCTTGGATTCATATAGCAGCAAATCAAACTTTGTTGATCTGACACAGAATTTTCACTGCCCATGTGCTCACACTTAACTGTGTATAGTGATTTTCATTATAACTGGGCAAAGGAAGTCATTTAGATCTCACACACTATCTTGGAAACCAGAAGAAAACAACTGGCATCATTCTGATGGGAGACCCAAAGCAAAGCTGTAAACACCATCTGTCAATTTTTCCGTCCAAAGGAGTCTTCCAAATCTCTATGGGTTCTCTTGCCAACTCCTTGTCACAGTTAGCAGCACCCAAAGCAAATTAAATCATTGAGGTTTCTCATGATGTTTTGGGCTAGGAGGCCGGGCTGGACTCCCAGGACGTCCGGGTGCCCAGGTGTATATACTCACAGCCGACCTCTACTCTCCTTCCATGGATGTCACTGTCTACCTCCTCAAACAGAATGGATATGTCTGGATGTGCACTTTGTACTCTGCACAACACAGTGCCTGGTTGAGGGTTCAAAAATCTTACTTATCCTGTGTCCTCTTATTTCCTCATATTGTGTACCTAACCTATGAACAAACTATGGCTTCCCCTTCAATATGTACTCAGAACCTGACCATTTCTATTTTTTTTTCCCCAAAGACTCACCCATCCATCTCACACAAGAACTGGGGTACAGGCCAGAGGTGTGGCGGGGGGGGGGGCGGTGAGAGGATTCACCAGAGATAGGACAGGGAACAGGACAGGCAGATCCACTGAAATATTCTGCTGAGGGGAGCAGCGGGTGAGACAGGAGAGGTCTGCTGCGCCATGCGGGTTGCTCCCTGGCTGGGATCGAACTCGTGCTGCAGAAGCTACACACAGCTTCACAGGTTGTGTCTTAACCCCTTGCACCACCAGGGAGGCCCCGCCCACTGCTCTCTTATTTGCTCACTCCATTCCAGCCACACTGAGCTATAGACTTGTATGTTCTTAGAACATAGAAGGTGAGCTTCCACCTCAGAGCCTTTGTACTCACTGTTCCCTTGGCTTGGCATTTTCTTCCCTAGGTGTCTAAGCAAGACTCATTCCTCATTCCCTTAGGCATAACTCATTTCCTCACTTTCTTCAGGTCTTTACTGAGATGCCACCTTTTCAGCAAGGCCTTCCCTAGTCATCCTTTGTAAATATCAACCATGTATACTTTCTTCTTTCCCCTGCTTTATTCTTCTTAGCATCTATTACCATCTTATTAGTGTTGTGTTTTTTTTTTTTTAAGCAAGATGGACATTTACACTTTTTTAAAAAAAGATTTATTTATTTATTTATACAAGGACTGGGTACAGTCAGAGGCATGTGAGGGTGAGGGAATTCACCAGAGCCAGAGTGGAGAGTAGAGCAGGCAGAGTGACGAAGTACACTGTTGAGGGGAGCAGCGGGCGGCAGGAGGGGTCTACACGCTGTGTGGGACCCTCACCGGGGGTCAGGGATCGAGCTGGCGCAGCGGAGGCTGCGGGCAGCCTCACAGCCCAGCGCTCAACCGCTGCGCCACCGGGGAGGCCCATTAGTGTTGTGTTTTTTTTCTCCTTTCTTTCTGGAATGTGAGCTCTATGAGAGCATGGATTTTGTGTGTGTCTTTTTTATATATTGCTGTATCTCTGGAGCATAGAACAGTGTCAAGTATACTGCAGGCAGACAATAAATATTATCTGAATGAATGAATGGAAAGTTTATGTGTTCAAGGAGTACCAATATGCTATACATGTACTCATTTCCTTTTTCCTGATGTCCAAGCTCACATTCTCTCCTGAACATGTCTCCAGAAAACTTGTCATCATCTTATTCTCAGTTTGGCCAGACAAACTCATTCTTATCTTCCTTACCATTTCAGTAAGTAAACCTTAGGGTTTTCTTGTTTCTGTTAATAAGATATAAAATGTGAGTTCAGTTCAATTCCTGGCCAGGGAGCTAACCCACATAGCACAGCAGAACTTTGCTGTCTCGCCTGCTGCTCCCCTCAGTGTATTTCAGTAGATCCACCTGTTGTGCTCCCCACTCTGTCTCTGGTGAATCCTCTCACTCACCCCCCTCCTCTGGCCTGTACCCCAGTTCTTGTATGCATAAATAAATAAATCTTAAAAAAAAAGAGTAAAGAGAGGCAGAATGAGGGTGTACATACCCTTTAGGTAGCCAGAAAGTGTAAAGATGTAAATCTTTCCTATTCCCTTAATCAAAAGTAAAAATTTCCAGAGCAATTGAAGCATCGCTTACATTATCAGCAGCTGTTACACCAGCATCACTGTCTTTTACTAGCCTCAGCTGTTTATGCTTCAATTTCTCCCACTAATTAGGAACTTTGGGTCACAGATTTCCTTCTTTCAGTGATGAATCCTCCATGCGCCTGATCCTAGGAGACATCTAATACACACAGAAGGCACTGAAGGACTACCCGGTTTAAACTGCTGAACCTCAAAATTGGAGGGGGGTTGAAGTTACCTGGAGAAAGTGAGGATCAGAAAGGGTAGGATGTGCACCCGGGGCCAGAAGCCAGACTTCCCAAGGTTCACTGGTAAATTTTGGGGGGTCATTTTGTTAGGGGGAAAAGGATGTCCCAAAGCAAATTCCATATAGGCTTTGTGGACTCCACCCCCACCCCAGGTCAAAGCCAAAGACACTGGGAACTCCAAATCCCATCACCACCAAAGGGCAGGTGGCTGGGACCTGAGGGTGGGGTTAAGCAGCCAGGTGGATACAAAAGGCAGACACGTGGGCTTTGGGGGGGCTCTCCATTTTTGGGCTCTCGGCCGGCTCGCAGCGTCCAGCCAGCTCTGAGAGTGACTTTGGGTTTCCAGGTCGTCGGATCGGGTAGGACGCATTAAAGACTTTATTTCCCTATTTTCTCCCTGAGTTGTACATTTTCCTTATTTCTTTTTCTCTTGTAAATAAACCTTTTATTAACCCTTTTGCGTGTGCTTGTAGTAGAGTATTCCTAAGTCCCTTTAAAGCGCGCGGGTGAGGACCCACAGCCAGGAACCCGTTTAATATCGGGGTTGCTCTATAACAATTTCGCAATTCAAGAAACTCGGGTTCCCTCCTGAGCTGTTTCTCCAGTCATCGCTCCTTACTCTTTTAGGGACCCCTCCATCCCGCCCTCCCTTTGATCAGCACGTCAATCATTCCAATCGCAGCACTCCCGGCGGCTGGAGTTCTTTCAACGGAAGCGAGATTAGTGACGTCACCGCCGGCTCCTCCCATTGGCCCGGGCGGGTGCGGCGCCGCGTCTTGACGTCAGACGCCCTAAGGGCGGAGCGGCGAGGGGAAGGAGGGAAGTAGGACTTCAACATGGCGGCTGTGATACTGGCGGTGGCTACGGTGACGGCCTGGCCCGGGGCGGGCAGAGTTCGTGGTGGTGGTGTTCACTCTCCCTGAGGGCCGTCGGGAGCTCCGAGGGAACCAAGCCTGAGAGGCCGGCGGGCGCCCGTACCTTTCGGCTTCTGGGACGGCGGCGGCATCGGCGTTCAGGTGAGGGGGCCTCCGGGGAAGAAGCGAGAGGGGCGGAGTTGGGGGAGGGGGCCGGGACGGGGTGACGGATGGGGGAGGGATCCCGGAGTGGAGGCTGGAGGCCCGGCGGGGTGGAACGAACTGCCACTGAGGGGGTGGGAGGAAGGGGCCCGAAATTCCGACTTAGAGCGAATTCTGGGAGTAGGGTCGGAGTGAGTGGAGCAGAGTTGAAGGGGCGGGGGGCGGATGGGGTGTGGGAAATTGAGTGCAGCTAAGGTCACCGAAACCCTGCTCCGCGATCAGTAGACAACTGGGTAGCTGGTGTGAGAGTCGGTGGGAATTAGAGGATGTCTGCGAGCAGAACCCCGCATTTAGTGAAGGTGAATGTTGGGGAATTGGGGGTGAGCTGGGGACTGGAGGTAAGATTTAATTTTTCCTGGGCCTATGAGATTAGGGAAAAAGGAGAGCAGACCTGGTGCGAGTGGTATTTGGGGATGTTTGGCTTTTTCTGGTCTTCTTCAGGTATATTTATCTTGGCTTTTCTGTTTGTTTCTTGGGTGGGGACCTAAGTACACCTGGGCCTCAGAAACAGCTCCGAATCGCTCTTGTGGAACACCAGGTGATAGTTGATCTGTAATCAGTCATCTCTGACCTTTGTGTAGTGGCTACCTTTACTTGTTTCCAGACTAACCTCTTAAAGGTATGGCTGGGTGTAAACATGTGTTTTGTATTAAACTGGAATAAAATTTTGATAGATGTTAAGACACCAGGGAATGTTGCAAAACCAGATTTGGAAGTTGTTATATTAAATATATTCTAAACCCACTTTACTAGTCCTTTGTTTTTCAGTACTAATTAGTAGTATTTGAAAATTTGGATAGATGTGATGGATATTTCAGTTTAAAATGTTGTCAGATTTGATGGTGGGGGAAAAAAGGCACTTATTTTTTGTGATAGCTACCTTTTTCTAGTTAATGCCCCAAACTAGTGAAAAGTTTCTGTATTATAGCAAAGAAAGTGAAATGTCCAAAGTCTTACAGAATTACAAGGTCTGCATTGTTATTATTTTTAAAAGATTTATTTATTTCCGCATACAAGAGCTGGGGTACAGGCCAGAGATGGGGGGGTGGTGAGAGGATCCACCAGAGACAGAGTGGGGAACAAAACAGGCAGATTGACCTTAGTATACTGCTGAGGGGAGCAGCGGGGCGAGTCAGGAGAGGTCTGCTGCCCCATGTGGGTTGCTCCCTGGCCGGCCTGGGATGGAACTCGTGCTGCAGAGGCTGCGGACTGCTTCTTAAGTTGCGTCTTAACCCCTTGTGCCACCAGGGAGGCCCTGTCTGCATTATTTTTTTTTATTTTTTAAAATTAATTTATACAAGCACTGGGTACAGTCAGAAGCGCGGGAGGGTGAGAGAATTCACCAGAGACAGAGCGGAGAGCAGAGCAGAGCAGGCAGATTGACAAAGTACACTGCTGAGGGGAGCAGGGGGAGGCAGGAGAGGTCTGTGCGCCATGTGGGACCTTTGACTGGTGGCCGGGGATCGAACTGGTGCTGCAGAGGCTGTGGCAGCTTCGCAGCCCAGTGCTCAACTGCTGCACCACCGAAGAGGCCCTATTTTTTATAGATTTATTTATGCATTATTTTTAAGGAGAATTTTATTTATTTTAAAAGATTTATTTATTTATACAAGCACTGGGTACAGTCAGAAGCGTGGGAGGGTGAGAGAATTCACCAGAGCCAGAGTGGGGAACAGAACAGGCAGACCGACAAAGCACACTGCTGAGGGGAGCAGCGGGCAGCAGAAGAGGTCTGCATGACATGTGGGACCCTCGCCCGGCTGCCGGGGATTGAACTGGCACTGAAGAGGCTGCAGGCAGCTTCGCAACCCAGCGCTCAACCGCTGCGCCACCAGGGGAGGCCCTATTTTTAAGGAGAATTTTATAAGTTAAAATTGTGTTTGTAATCCATCCTATTCATTTTTTCTGTTATTCAATATTTATTGATTGCCTATTGTGTGTTGCTTTCTTAAGAGTCTCATAATTAAGAATATGGAGAGTTGATGTTTCTTTTCAGGGCATCTTTATCATTCTTCCATAAATAACTTCCTAGCTTGCTATGGCCTCATTGGAGGAAAGGTGTTATTTCAGAAATGAAGACAAAGGAAAAAAATGAAAGAACTTTTGTTTAGTATTTGGCTCACGACATGACATTTCTTACATGTATCTGAAAGATTTTCTTTTTCACTTTGATTTTGAAGAAGACAGGACCAGTATCATAGATGTGTATACAATTCTCATCAATGGTGCTTTCTTAGTTCACTTAGACTGGCAAATGTGACTTTATCTCTAATGCTTTATCTTTTTAAGATTTATTTATGCATTTAAGAGCTAGGATGTAGGCCAGAGGTGCTGGGGGCAGGGGGGAGAGCATTCACCAGAGAGATAGTGGGGAGAACAGGCAGACTGACTGAAATACACTGCTGAGTGGAGCAGTGGATTGGACAGGAGAGGTCTACTGTGCCATGTAGGTAGCTCCCTGGCCGGGGATCGAACTCGTGCTGCAGTGGCTGTGGATAGCTTCATCGGTTGCATCTTAACCCCTTGCGCCACCAGCGAGGCCCAAGCACTAGTTTTAAAGTAATGCCATTTTAGACTAATTGTTCTCATGGAAACAGTGGTATAGTTGGAATGATAGATACTTGATTAAAATTTCAGTGACACAAGATTTCATCAGTATTCTAGGAGGAAATGAATACCTGAATATTTTGTGCTTTAAAATATTTTGTACTTTAAAATAAACTGGATGAGGGACTTGTTTTCTTATTTATATAGCTCAGTGAGATTGAACCCAGAATTAAAGGCCAAAATTTCTATGAGAATTGTGTTCTCAGAATTCTGGTTTGGTCATTATCAGTTGCTTAATGCTTCTAATGTGAGTCACTGAATTTGCTCATAGTAATTGTGAATCTTGTGGTTACTGAGTCAAGAGCCAGTTTTGGTTCCTTTTACTTCCTCCCCAGTACTTGATATTGTCAGACTTTTGAATTTTTTTCTACTCAATTTGGGTTTGAAGTGGTATCTCTTATGTTTTCATTAGCATTTCCTGAATTTGAGCATCTTTTCATCTATTCATTGACTATTTGTTCTCCTCTTTAGAAATGTATGTATAAGTTGTCTATTTTTATTTTGAATTATTTCTCTTTTCCTGATTAAGAGTTTTTTTTTTAAGATTGATTAATTTTTAAATGTTTTTTTTTTTTTTTAATAGAGGCATGTTTTATTTATTTATTTATTTGTTTGTTTTGTTTATACATGCACTGGGTACAGTCAGAAGCGCGGGAGGGTGAGAGAATTCACCAGAGCCAGAGCGGGGAGCAGAGCAGGCAGAAGGACCGAAGTACACTGCTGAGGGGAGCAGCAGGCGGCAGGAGAGGTCTGCGCGCCATGTGGGACCCTCCTCAGGTGGCCTGGGAGCAGCCGGGGATCGAACTGGCGCCGCAGAGGTCGCCGGCAGCTTCGCAACCCAGCACTCAACCACTGCGCCACCGGGGAGGCCCCAAGATTGATTAATTTTTAAATCAATGTGCGGTGCTCAACTGCCTGCGCCACCAGGGGAGGCCCTGATAAAGAGTTTTGTTTTTTTTTTGGTGCTCAACTGCCTGCGCCACCAGGGAAGGCCCTAAGAGTTCTTTATATAGTCTGTATAATAATTATGGTTGCAGATATCTTTTTTTGGATAGAAGAACTGGGTGTAGGCCAGAGGGGTGGGTGTGTGTGTGAGGATTCACCAGGGACAGAGTGGGGAGCAGAACAGGCTGTGAAATACTCTGCTAAGGGGAGCAGTGGGTGAGACAAGAGTGGTCTACTGCACTGTATATGTGTTAGCTCCCTCATCAGGGATTGAACTCAGGCTGTTGCAGTGATAGTGCTGAGACTTAACCCCAGGACACTAGGGAGGCCCTGGTTACAGATATCTTCTCCCAATTTCTGACTTGTCTTTTCATCTCTTTATAGCCTTTGGTGAGAAAGTTCATAATTCTAATGAATTAAACTTTGCAGCCTTTGTGATTTTTTTTTTTGAAAAGATTTATTTATGCATACAAGAACTGGGGTACAGGCCAGAGGTGTGGGGGAGGGGGGCAGTGAGAGGATTCACCAGAGAGTAGAGTGCAGAACAGGCAGACTGACTGAAATACACTGCTGAGGGTAGCAGTGGAGAGGATAGGAGAGGTCTACTGCACCATATGGGTAGACCCCTGGCCAGCTGGGGATCGAACTCCTGCTGCAGAGGCTGCGGATTGCTTCATAGTGCGGCGCTTAACCCCTTGCTCCACCAGAGGCCCTTATTTTACATTTTTAAAAATTTATTTATTTATGCATGCAAGAACTGGGGTACAAGTCAGAGGTGTGTGGGGGGGCAGTGAGAGGATTCACCCAAGACAGAGTGAGGAACAGAACAGGCAGACTGACTGAATACACTGCTGAGGGGAGCAGTGGGTGAGACAGGAGAGGTCTGCTGCGCCATGTGGGTAGCTTCCAGGCTGGTCAGGGATTGAACTCGTGCAGCAGAGGCTGCAGATAGCTTCACAGTGCTATGCTTAACCCCTTGCACTACCAGGAAGGCCCAGGGAAATACTTTAAATTATAGACATTTTACACTAGAATACTTATTTAACTTTCTAAAAAAATGAGGACATTTTCCATCATAACCACAATATTATTGTTGTTTTTTTTTTAAAGATTATGCGTACAAGAGCTAGGGTACAGGCCAGAGATGCAGGGGGTGATAGGGTCTACCAGAGACAGAGTGGGGAACAGAACAGGCAGATTGACTGAAATACACAGCTGTGGGGAGCAGCGGGTCAGGGAGGAGTGGTCTGCTGTGCCATGTGGGTCCCTCCCTGGCTGGCCGGGGATCGAACTCATGCTTCAGAGGCTGCGGATTGCTTCATAGCGTGGTGCTTAACCCCTTGCGTCACCAGGGAGGCCCACACAATATTGTTATTAAATCCGGTTCT